AGTAGTATGCAATAGAAGGACTCGCTCCTCATCCGTCTGTCCGCCCGCTCGAATGCATAGAGTCTCTCCGTCCGACCGTCCACTCGCTAAATAAACTGTTGTCTATGTCCGATGTGTAGCGAGTAGTGAACTACTCTTCACAAGCGGACGGTTCGTTACCCTTCCGCTCGTTTGCGGGTAGTGCCAGCAAGTAGTTCGTTACTTGCGGACGCTGATTTAGCGAGCCCGACCCAACTCTAAGGGGAGGGGACGGGGCATAAAACGTACGAATACTACAGGAGAAAAAAACGGCAGTCCCCTTTTTTCAATTGAGTTGTACCCCATGAGGGCTTCATGACATTACAGTTTTGTTTTATTTTAGTATGATTTTACTGTGCTCGCAACTGCAAAAGGTCATATGAGCCCCACATTATACTTTGACATTACAAAACATTTTTAAAGGGAGAAAAACAGCAGGGTCCATGAGAGAAAATTGTATATCCATTACGTTATGAGGTTTCAACCTGAAAAAAACCCAGGATATCTCAAAATCACCAGAACGCTCTGGTGTGGTTTGCTCCTTCTTTCTTATCAAACATCTATCGTCCTGATCTCAACTCCTTTTATATGTTTGTTACTCTCTAGTACAACCTCTAATCTTCGGCACTCATATGACCTTACTGTGTTGCAAGTGCCGTAAAACACTTGCTTAAAAAAAATTATTTTTAAAAAACTCACCAAAGCATTCATTCACTCCTTGTAGCTGCAGCAGTAGCGCGTACCACACTGCAGGTTGCGGCACCCGCTGGCCGCAGCGTGGAACGGGTCGTCCGCCATATTGTCGCAGTAGAACAGGTTGCTCAGGTCCAGCTGCCGGCAGGTGGACACCAGGGGAGCCAGGCCCGTGCCGGTCACCAGCGTGCAGCCCGACAGGTCCAGGTGCTGTAGCTCCGGGATGCCCTGACCTTGAGCCAGAGCCCTGATTGCAAAAGAAATTTAGAATACAGTACGAAAATTGTTCAAGATGGCTATTCGCTGTTCATGAGAAAAGTGGTTGTCTCGGAAAAGGTGGATGTTTTGGACAGTAAAGTTGTTCCCGCATCTGATCCGGACATTGGGGATTGCCTTGTTAGTGAGACAACTTCCTGGGCCTTCGGCATATTGTGGTAGGGTGGCCAGTTCCTTTTCCAGCCACCTTTACTTCCCCAACTCGAAGTCAGGTACCCATTACTGCTAGGAGGGCAGGAGGGGGCGAAAAAAATCTTTGTCCGAACCGAGGCTCAAACCCGGACTTTCCGCTTCAGAGATGAGTGCGTTAACCGCTCCCTCTTTGGGCAGTATCATTATAATATAATATAAAAGTTGGAACGGGGGGGGGGGGGGGGGGGGGAGGGGAGACAGTGCAGTGTGGGAAGTGATCGTTTGTCAATGTGACTGTTCAACAGGTGGCCATTAAAGCATTATGAGGAGACCTGATACAATGAGCTATCTTAGAACCAAAAATCTCTGAAGTATGATTTAATAATAATAATAATAATAAAAACGATAATAAAAATTTATTCTATTTTTCATATAGCGCCCAGCCCCAATTAAAGAACACAGGTTCTGAGCACTTTACAAATACAAGTAGCAACACATAACAGTAAAATGTGTTCTGCCCAAAAATCTAGATATTTGCTCTATAATCCAGAAACACAAATGACTTCAGTTAACTTTTAAAATTGATTTCATGTAAGTGAGCAAAAACTTCCCTGCTCTGTTGTTGGTTTTGTTTTTGTTTTTTTGGAGGGGGGGGGGGGGTTTCAATGATATTGTCAGCTGTGTGATCCAGTACCAAAAGATGCAAGAGGATAAAAAAAAATAAAAAATAACCAAGAACATTTAAAAACTAATTAAAACCTTAGACAAATGACAGACAAATCTGTCTTTGTTGGAGTATCATGTGTCAGATAAAAGGGCTGTTCCATGTTACATTTGTCACTATACTGACAGTACGTTTCAATAAAAACCAGTGTCTTTGGATATCCATCAATTAATTCAAAGTAGGCGACTGGTCAAAATGTAGAGGAACATTGCCTTTGACCAAAAACGAAAAACAAAATGATAGGTCTACCACTGCATTAATTTTTTTAGCAGGTCATCATCCCCACATTTATGTACATCACTAGTTCTACTTTTCACAGAAAGGCCCAAAACCCATCTTTTCCAAACAAAACCCGTTAAAAAACACACAACATACCAGAGGCCTTCGTCTGTGACTCTGTAGCAACCGTTCAGACTGAGAAACTGCAGCTGACTCGTGAAGACCTCCTGGTCCACTTCATCTTCCTCATGATCACTGACCCACACAGAGTCGTCCCCTGACTTGGGCTCAGCCGCACAGTAAACACTTTGGCAACAGGGGGGCTCCTGAGGTCGATACGATGGTGCTGGTCTCTCCTCTGACCGCCCGTCAGAACTAAGGCAAGTGGGTGCGCCACACATACAGACGTTTCTGTTCGATTCTGAGCATCCGTGACGTTGTCTAACTGAGGAGGAATTCCCTGAGCAGTTTTCACCACTACCCGTTCTATTCACAGGTGCGGATGCAGAGTCATCTCGCTGTCTTTCACCACAACACATCTTTTTTTCTACTACTTTTTCAGCACAGCAAGTCTTTGTTTTCACTGCTTGCCCCTCACCAGAGAAAGAGCAATGATTTGGCGAGGTCCCCATAGAAATATCACAATGTGGGTCACACGAGTCAGCTGCGTGGGAGGTGGTTTCAGAGTTAAGCAGCCTGGCAAGGTGAAGGCCACCCAGGTCACACTCAATGTCACTGACCTGTAATGAACCGTCAACAGGCACTTGATTTGTTTCATTTGGCTTTGCCAGGACGTTGCAGCAACTCTCTCTTAGTACCCACGACTCTTCCTGCTCTGTCCCAGACAAAAATGGTTCCGCTAGACAACTCGGCCTACACTCCGTCGTCGAACTATCGCTCGAAGACCCGACGCTTGAATTGCGGCTTCTCTCAATTTCCACATCACAGCAGTCAGAAGCCGTTAGAAATCCATCGTTTCCTTCTCCGTCAGTACAAGAGGCACACTCACTCAGACTGCTGTAGCTACCCAGAGTAGAGCCACTGTCCACTGTACCCTGCTCCGAAGTTTCCTGGTTTACGCCAAAACCAGACTTTTTATCGCAGCAAGAGGAGAGCTGACAGCATGGCGGTGGAAGAGCCTCAATGTCAACTTCCATCCTCTCTTTCTCATCGTCTTCAATTTCGTCCCACCCGTAAGCGTAGACAGCATTGGCATCGGCCAAACTGAACAGAGTCAGGTCGGTAATGTGAGAGCATCCAGTGAGGTCCAGGTGTCGCAGTCTGGACTGACGTCCACTCACTCCATACCTTAAAAATAGAAATGAAATAAAAAGGGGTATAAGCAGCGGATAAAAGAAAGTATGAAATAAAAAACTTGATTAACGGTTCTAGGCTCAATATCATGAGACACTTTCAAAAGTCACATGCATTTCAAAGCAAATAAGAGAAAAAGGTCTAAAAGAACTTGGAGGAGGGACTTAGATTCAGGCCTGAAGGAGAGTGGTCACAGCTGGACAGCTGGGTGGAGACAATAGCCCAAGACATAAGTAGATAGGGGGCCCTTGTTGGTGACCGATACTCTGGCACATGATTATAATGATGGGGGTGATGATGATGATGGTGATGACTCCAACTTTCAGAAAGAAACAAAAAATGACACCAGAGAAAAACCTTTATAATGGTCACTGTCACAGTACGATAAAACACTAGAACTGTTTCTCTTCACAGCTTTTCTAAGACAAAGCCGTGTCAAGCAAAAAACATCCATGATTTGAGATCTGATAACTATTGCTACCAAACTGTTTCATCAAAAAATGTTTAGTTTACATGCTTTTTGCTTTTTACGTCTAAGTATAATTCAGGGGAACAACAGGAGCTTTAACTGAACAGGTCCAAATATCACAATAAAAACCGATTCCAAGAGATTAAACTGAACAAGACTTATAGCAACTTGTGGTGACCAACCAGTTTCAAGTACATTAAAAACAGAGAGAACTTTGTCAGCACAAGATGTGATACTTACTCCTTGAAAGCTTCGTCTCCAACCCGAGTATGCGTGAGATCCAAAGTTTCAAGATTTGGACACAACTTCAGAATTTTGTGAACCTGTGAAGACAAAATCAAAGGTCCAGTCTCTACCCAGCATGTAGTGTGTATGGTTTTGAGAAGTAATTCAGACACATTTTTGTTAGAGGGAACACTTTCAAATTTAATTGTGGAGAGAACAAGAGAGAGTTTTTCTGTTTCGTTTTAGTAGAGGTTTTACGGCACTCGCAACTGCATAAGGTCATTTTAGCACCAAGGGGAGGATGTCAACAGAGAAGTCCTTACAAGGAATCAGACTTATTCTGCTCATCTCTCTAGCTTCAACAGCACAAAGTCTGTTTCCACTATCAAGGCACCCTGGAAATAGCGGGTCACAAGAGTGTGTCAAACATACAAAAGAAGTAGAGGAAAAAAATGATGATAGTAAGGAATAGGAAAGAGATTCCCTGTTGCTGTTTAGGCACAACTATGAGCATGCAATTTATGAATCAACCCATTTACAATTACAATTCTACTGTGCATAAGAGCTTTGAAAGAAGAAAACCAAAAAGAACAAGAAGAGTTACCTTAATTGCAGAATCGCATTGTGCAGAAGAATGCTTGCTCATGTATTTGGAGGAAGAGATGGAGGAGGACAAGGACAAGAATGAGAACAAGACAAAGAATTATCGTTATAGCAGAGTCATATTGTGATGACAGAATGCGCGTATGTGTAACACTCACCAGGCTACTACTAATGCCTTTGCTATAGGCTAGGTCACACACTTTGACCCCTGACCCCACTTGAGGCAACAGGTACTTCACAATGGCCGTGATCATCTTTGCTTCGCGCAAAATCTGGTTGAGCAATAGACAAAGACAACATTTCAGAAATGATAAAATCTTGGGTAAAAACACTGTGAGTAACAGCAGATAGGAAAACTCTTGTGGTTGCTTTACTGCTCTCAATTTATACAATGGAATTTGAGAGCTATCTAAACATTTTTTAGCATACACACACCCACAGGTGCAAAGTGATCCAAAAAGTATTTCATATTTATTGATAGTCTAACTTTGAATGGTTGACATTCTAAACAAAAAGCTTTTTTTTTTAATTAAAAGAATGATGGTGTCATATAAAAGGCAACTATTTTAGCACATTATGTACTCACAGGAGAAAAGATGCCCCAAAAAATTTAGTCTAAATTATCAAATTTATTTTATACCTTCTAGAATAAGAACAACAAATAATTAGCATGATCTTTCCATTCAAAACAATTTCATCACTTTTAACTTTTTGGCGAAAAAGTAACAAGTGAGGAGCCTTTCTCACCCTTTTCAGCTCAACGGACTGAGGACTCTCTGAAAAGTCACTTTCACAAGACTCGTCAACATCTGCATCCTCGTCCACACACAAGTACGCATCCTCATCCTCCGGGTCAGCAACATATTCTTTTTCCAGTGCACCAGCGCCATCAACTCCGCCAGTTACTTCCGGATAAAAAGTCCAATTTCCTTGGGAAGATAAAACGGAGAACAGGTGTAATCAAAGCCAAAGACCAAGAGCTGAGCATATCATTTATCATCACAGGCAAACTGAAACAGTATATATATATATATTCCAAATTAGACATGCACACTTTGTATTTTACTTACACTCTATATCTCTATTGCCCCGCCTCCTTTCATCTTATTTCTGACAAACCAGGATATTAAAGAATAGTAACAGTACAAATTTGCCGTAGTCTAAGATTAGTGTGGTTTCAATAAATTGAAGCACATCAATATGATAACACTCGTTTAGAAAAGGGGAAAAAGCATGACAGACAGAAACAACACGGGAAAAGAAAAGAAGAAGGACCTACCAGAGAACCATGCCTGATACTGATATCAAAACTTCAAATGACGTGATACAAAAGATTATTTTCGACAAGGACATTAACAATACTGCTAATCATCAAACAGAGGAACAAGTAAATTGATACACAGAAAAAGATACCAGAAGGAAAATAAGAGGACATTATTAATGTCACGTCCAACCCATCCAGTCGAAAGTTAAGAAGAAACATTCAAACACTTTCAATGTTGCCGAGTATGACTTAACTGCTGACAAAACTAAACGGCTGTTACAGGGAACTAATAATAGGATGAGTTGAGTCTACCATCCTACCCAAGTCCATCTTTGGCGAATTTGGAGATTGTGTTATAAATAATAAAGATATTTTGAGAGGGGACATCAATCTTTCTGTCAAGTGTCAAAGACCAAATATGTAAACAATTGTTTGAGTTATATCCCTTGCTGTCTGGCACTTTTCTTCACCTTTTACAGGTAGGAGCTTCATAATTTGACTCAAGAAGAGTGGGCGGTTGGCGGGTGCTCTGATGTGGTTTGCTCCTTCTTTCCAATCAAACCTCTACCATCCTTATCTCCCATCTTATTTTGAGTTTGTTACTCTCTTGTAACACCTCTAATCTTTGGCACTTATATGACTTTATTGTGTTGCAAGTACTGTAAAACTCTTACTGAAACAAAGACTCATCAAGAAGGGCAATTTCAAGCAACATCACTTTCCTTAAGGCGTGAAAAAATGTTTTAAGGATTTTTCTTAAAACTGCAACTTGGCAATTTAGTTGCAGGATGTAGGATGGTGAGCCAACTTTCGCCTACATCAAAGTGCACAAACATTACTTTCCAGGGGTCAAAGAATGTGACTTGGCCTCAAACATTACTTTCCAGGTGTCAAAGTATGTGATTTGGCCTTGAGCAAAGGCATAAGTAGTAGCCTGGTGAGTGTTACACGTACCATGCATTCTGTCACGACAATATAACTGCTATAAAGATTAATTTTTTTTATCTAGTTCTCGTTCGCACTCTCCTCCTCCTCCTCCTCCACCTCTTCCTCCAGTGCATGAGCAAGCACTCTTTTGCACAATACGATTCTGCAATTAAGATCATTTTAATTCATTATATAAAGCCAGCTTTTTATCATAATGCATTGGCATGGAAACGGCTAGTTTTGCAATAAACAGATAAGAACACAATAACATTTTTTTTAAATCAAGGGAGTAGACCACACCATAGTTATCATGTCTAACTGAACTAAAGTGCAATTGCAAGAAACTACTTAATGTATCTAATACGCACCATTACACCACAGATTTCAATTGAAAATTACAGCCCCGACAACAACATGTGCTCAGTGGGTATCTCATGAAAAGCATGTGGTAAATCTTTTCTGAGTAGTGAAAAAAAAAGAAGCACATAAATACAACAACTATTATTTAAACTGAATAAAAAAAGCAAGACAGACAGACAGAAACATTAGCGGGAAAGAAAAGAAGTAGGGCCTATCAGTGGCACCCGCCAACCACCGGCATAAATCTTTTCAGAACAAAGACTGCAACAGGGATTTTGTGAAAATAACTGAAAACTTACAAACTTGCACATAAAAACAAAGACAGTTAATAGACTTAACCGGTTTGGGTTAAACAGTAAACAAATGTGGAGAAAAAAAATGTCATTCTTTTAACTGGATTTAATTTTTTTTAAATAAAAGAAAAGACAACAAAAAAAAAACCCCCGGCAGTCCAGTAAGACATTTACCTTGCGCCCAATGAACAGGGTGCAACTCCATCCAGAGTGATGGGTCCCTCGTCAGCTGATTCCATCGGTGGGACACTTGGCCTGCTCTCACCAAGTCCTTGGGGTCCAAGTAAGAAAATATCTTCAGACAAATCTCATTGGGCACCAAATCAGCATGGCAGATAGGCTCAGGGGATTCCTCACTGGACTCTTCCGCTGAAAATAAAAGTTAAGTTGCTGTTGAACACTAGGCATGGATGGTTGGCCGGTGCTCTGGTGTGGTTTGTTCCTTCTTTCCTATAAAAAAAATCTACCGTCCTTATCTCTCCTCCTTTTTGAGTATATGACTCTCTTGAAAACCTTTAACCTTCAGCACTTATATGACCTAATTATGTTGTAAATGCTGCAAAACTCTTACTAAAAATTAAAGAACACTAGCTGTAACATGATAATAAAGTTAAGAAGCTGACTTGAACACTAGTGATAACATAATATAAATATTTAAAAAGCTGCCCTGAACACTTATGAAGTCTTCGAAAGAGATGAAGAAGCTACTCAAAAGTAGATTTTTAAAAATTAATGTTCATAAGAGGAGAAATTAATACAAATTTATTTTGCTGGCTACAAATCCTGATGGATCTGATATTAACACAGATGACAGACTGATTCTTCAAAAAAATACATTTCTAAACAACAGAAATATGCAATGTCATTTTGATAAGCCCACTGCACCCTCTGCTTCTATTTTATGTCCGACTGGCCATCCGAAACTTGTAAAGATGTGTGTCTCTTCACAATAAAAAAAATTATGTCCATGAGACCTTCATTACATAAGACATTCCAAATGCACATCAACACAATAATAGTCATTTGGTACTTTAAAAAATGAGAAAAACAGAAACAAATCAGGGTAAGTAAAGAAACAGGACCTTTAAGTGGTGCCCTCCAACCACCCACCTTCTGAAAATTCATTTAAGTGGGAAAAGGTTAGTTAAAAGAAAGAAAAACAAACAAACCCAAAAACAATGTACGCTATGAAAATGAGATCAAAAGAAAAAATTTAAGCACACACTAAAAATCAATTGCTTTCCACGCGAAACAAAAACCCTAAAAAAATTCAGTCCAACAGTGGGTAAAATCTAAATGAAAACATGCCATCACTTACATTCATCTTCCACAAATTTTTCACTGTCATAATGCTCAGCGCTCTCTTTCAGTTTCGAAACACCATGCTCGTAAATAACTTTAGCCTTCAAGTCCTTTAGTTCTTCGTAGCTGAAATACTCCATCAACATGGGCTGGAACACCTGAGAGCAGAAAACAGAACGCACTAATAAAATCTATAAGAAACAACACTATTGAGCGACAGTATATAAATATGAGGCTATTATATCTCATATTTAGCTTGTATGTACAGAAGAGAGGGAAGACATGGAATAATGTCAATAGGCCAGCCCAGGATAGGGAAAGGTGGAAAATGTTTGTTCAAAGATGAGAAAGGCAATAAATAATGATGATGATGATTTTTTTTTGTTTCGTTTCCTTAATGGGCCTGGCGGACTCCACGAAGAAATCTTCGAGCGAGAGCGAGAGCGAGGCTCTTTTTCGGCTCCATTGTCAATATGCTTAGCGGCACCTCCACTCGTCCAAATGATGATGATGATGATGATGATGATGATGATGACGATATCTGAGTCAACCTGCTAAAAGCTGTCTTCTGTTTCGCTAAAAGACAACACTCTCAGGACTCATTTTGAACATTGTATTAATCAGTAAATTATTTTTTTTGTAGTTCACCAACAAAATTTGAGGAAATAAATTGAGGAAAAACATGTCATTTAAAATAATTGATAACATCTGAGCAGCCTCAACACTAGTTCAAAGAATCAAGCTCAACAATTAAAGAAAACATTCCTTTTTTAGCCGGGGGCACTAAATGTCTTAAGGCTTTATATCAATTATGGGCTGCTAAAAGTGTAAGAAAACACATTAACCTGTCAAAAACAATACCACTACTCCAAATCTGGGAATTAAATAAAATTCTTATAAATCTATTGTCTCAATAGAACAACTAAAAACAAACAGACTCCTTAACTTGAATAGTGCAATTTACAAGCATGGCAGGACTGCCTTTTTTCATAAAAACAAAGAAGATGAGTCACTGTGTGCTGCTTTTTATGTTCCAGAAAACAGTCGATAAACCGGTTTACCTCTTCCTCTTCCTCCATGTGAGGGATAAAATTCTCAGTGAAATCTTCAAGGGCTTCCCGAAGCTTCACACCGAATACTTGCCGCTCATAATCAGTCTTGTCAGTCCATCTAAATATAAGAAAGACAAAAAAATCTCAATAACCCATATTTCTTAATTCTGCATTCTTATAAATAATGCAAACTATGACAAAACAATTTATTTTGAGTAGGTTTATTTAATTTGAACATAAAGAAGGACTACGTGGTATAACAAACCTTTATAAAATAAAAACAAGTGTAAACAAAATTTTTTAATCATTCAAAGCCACAAGCCTGTAACCCCTGTAAGAATACAATGCAGATAAGACGAATATTATATTGAAATATACAAAAAAATTAGGAACATTACTGAGACTTCTAATCATGCAATGCATCAAAGGGAACAAAACCTTTCCTACATCACATATTAGCACCCTCTGTCATCTCATAAATAAAGGTACCAAAGGAGGAAACATTCTCATCAAAGCTTGGTAGCAGGCCCACTTCTAAATAATATATATGTTCACTCTAACAACAGCCGATAGAGAGAAGAAAGTCTTATTATCACATGAAGGCAAAAAGAGTCCTCTGTTTTCCCCATCATAAATTCAAAATTTTCTAAACTTGTAGGAAGTGACTTTAAAAATTGGGGAAAAGTAGTCTCCACCCTTCAAAAGGAAATACCGTAGGCTATAAGAAAACTTGAAAATGTATCTTACTTGTACCCATCCGATACCAATTCCAGCATATCTGTCAATCTGTTGTCACTGTGGCAATTGCAGACAGCAGCACTTGTCACTGATGCAGCCCTCAGTTTGTACCTCAGCTTCCGCATTATTAACATGTTCTCAATTCGCTCATGAGCTTTGAACTCTAAAAAGACGTTATGAAGATTCTGAAGAAGTGTTTTAAATCGCGTTTCATTGGCGAAGTCAGCTGATAGTATCTGGAGATGAAATAAGATAGAATGTGCAATTACAATTTTTTTTAAAAGAAAACATAAAAAAAATTAGTAAAATAAAATTCAAAACAGGCTATCCAACAAATGATCAAATAGTCATAGAAAAAAAATTCCAGTCAGCTGTTCACTGATTCACCGCTAATTGCCAAAAATCCTTGAACAGCAAGCGAGTTTTAGCTCAGGCCGTCGTTATTCGGACTCGATCGAGTCCGAAAAACATTTTTTCATCCGAATAAAAAATTTTCTTATTCGGACTCGAGTCCAAATATGAAATAATGTTATTTGGACTCGGGTCCCGAAAAAAGGAAGTGTCTTCGTTCTATAGATCTAACGTTCAGTGCTTCCAATTTTCCGCCATTTGTTAGTTTCCCCCACACCTTATCTGCCGATCCAATGCTCGCCGCCTCATTGATACGCCCCCCCCCCCCCCACCCCCACGTTTCCCACTTTCTTTGTTGTAGAAAAAGGTAAAATTGAAGATTAGCAGACCACCTGGCACCTGCATATTATGAGCTGTGTAAAAAAAAAAAAAAAAGACCGATTCGTTCAAATACACAAGCCTGTGTCATATCGATTGTTTAAGAAAAAGTTGTGTTGCTGTGTAGACCTGAGCATACGGCAACTTTTGATTCCATAGACCAGCGCACAATTCATTACGTAGATCTACATCAAAACTAGCTTATTATTGTAATAATGATCAGTTGCCGGGCGGAAAAAGACTGACGCGTATGCGACGTTCAAAGCCCGGACCGATAGTGCCCCCCCACTACCCTCCCCGACACGCACACAGCCACACGTGTGCAGGCCGCCCATCCGACCCCGACACACGCTAACGAGCCATCTTTAATTGCTTCTGATGACCTCTTGACAAATAAACATTTATTAGAAGTGCTATAACTTTTCAGGCCGGCCTCAAATTCATCATATAAGATTAAAACTCGGCTCCTGCACAAAACGCCTCTTTGCCCGAAGTGATCCCGGTCTCTACCCAGCCTGAGGCGAGTCACGAGTGAGGCAGGACAGGAAGCCGAATTCACGAGTCACAGGAAGTCGGAAGTGATGTCATGCTGGACAAGAATCAGAGTCCGAATAACATTTTTTCATATTCGGACTCGAGTCCGAATAATCACTTCGTTTAGCTCAGAGCTGAAACTTGGTACAGGCTTACCTGGTCCAACACCCACAGCAGGTGTGTGTGTGTGTGTGTGTGTGTGTGCATGGTGTGTGTGTGTAGGTGCAGGTCCGTGTCACAATGTAAACATCTGATTCTGCTACAACAACACTACAAGTTGTGCACTGGATCTCAGATGCAACAACAACAACACACTTGACTCTTGTATGTTAGTAATGAAACAATTCTCATTTCTGCTATCGACTTGATAGTAGGTATGTAGATTTGCTTCAGTCTCTGCATTATGATTCATAAAAATGACGGTGAATTGCTTAAAAAACCACAAGAAACTCTTGTGTCTTGTCAAAGTTTAAGTCATTAAAAGTCAAACAAAAACAAAGTTCGGAGAGGCCGGAAAACTAAACTGGATCACTTGGAATCTCTCAGCTGTAGGGTCTCTATTACAATAGTGCTGTTACTGTTCTGTTCACGTTTAGGAGCAACAGCAGCACAAGACTAGACTCTAGTCTAGTATTACCCGGTGAATGACATATTGTGTTTACATTTTGAGCTAAAAAAAGTAAATAAAACAGAGGGTGTGAAGTCAGTCATAGTTGACACCCTCTCTAATGTATTCTCCTTATTTTTATCTATAGTTACTCCTTCCTTCTTCCTTTCACATTCACTGTAGGGGTTGGGATAAGGAAGGAAGTTGAATACCATTTTGCTGTACTTGTGCACCAGTTTTTTCATTCTGGAGTGTGGTACAGTGAAAACATCAACCTCTTCTGGCCAGAGCGGCGCCATCTTGCTTTGCCAGTCAATGAACTCTTCACTGAAGTCTCGCAGGAAGTCCCGTGTCTCTCTTCACTCGAGATTAGTGACGTCACGTTGGCCTGGCGACGTTGATATGCGGAGGGAGTAACGAAGCACGAGAAGGGTGCAGGTGCGATAGAGCTGTGTTTCTGAAGTGATAAAAGATATCGACATAGTGAGGTAAAGTGTAAACTATTAAAAAGTTGTCATCATGGCGCGCAACCCGTACGCCAATACCCAGATGCAAAATTTCTGGAAGGAATCTGTAGAAAAAGAAGCCACAGCTCGATTAATGTCCTTCGCTAAGATGCGTGGTCAGTCTCGTAGCAAGCCACGCCAGCTAGAGGTGTTTAGAAAGAAAATCGAAGACAACAAACCGTCTGATGCATTGCTAGAACGGTTGCCACCTATTTCAGGTGAGCCACATTTCAACAGAAAGAAGGCAGACTTCAACGAGCCTCTCGGTCTCGACAGAGCCATGACTTTACCCGTGGATGCCCCTGAAATGAGACCAGTATCACCGGTTGTGAAGAATACACTATACGATGGATTCACAAAAGAAGGTAAAGGGCGCTATACCTACTTGCAGCAGCGTTATGATAAGATTCCAGAACAAAAGTTTGCTTTCCCAACCTGTTCTTCCTGGGACTATGGCTGGAGACTGAGTGATGTGATCAAGAAGGAAGACATCAAGAAACCAAGGTACGGCCGCAACAAAATTGTAGAAGACACTTTTTACACCAGAAACGGAATTATGAGTGATTGCAACCGAGTGTTCTAAACTGAGAACAATAATTAGGTCTACTTCGCGTTCCTTGATGACTGTTTCATAAATGAACTGCGCGAATAATGGAACAGAAATGTGTGCCGACTCTATGGATCTGTTGCATGGCTGATTCTCCTCTGATGTGCTTGGACATTATATTTGAATGAAGAGTCCTTGTTGTGTCCCCAGTTGCATCATATTGTGTTGCTTTTGTGTACCATCTTGCTTTATGAATTTACAATACTATTTCAGCACACCAATTTCCACCACACTCACATAATGTGAGATATTATTATGAAGGTTAACTATACATACATGATATTGTGATGCACTTCCTTCACACTTCACACACACATACAAAAACACACATACCTGACCCAAACAGGCTATCAAACATCTGACCATACATAGAGGCCCACCGTATTATCGTTGAAAATATAGTTGCATGATAGGCCCTAAGAGAAAAGCTAAAGAATAACAATTTTACCCAAAACGAATTAACAAACACACATAGCTTACACACAAAGTACATGTATATGGCACTTTATAATTTCTCGTGTTTGTTTGTTTTGTTCACTTATTTATCATTTGTGTGTTTAATAATGTGATCTATGCATTTTCTCTTATTGTTGTATTGATCTGAATGAATCTTTTTAAAACACCAGTATCCTTATGTCCTGGCTAAATCCTGCTGAATTAGGCCCTTCCTTGAGCCATTGGATGCTATCTACATGTGTAATTTAAAACCATGTTATACTGATCAGTTTAGTAAGGAGAGCTTGGTCATGGTGGTTGTTTCAAAAAAAAAAGTAAGGCCTTTAAAGAAAGTCAGTAGCGTGCTTTCATGGTGTGCCTGGGTGCGAACTAAGAGACCAAAATTTATCAACCAGAGATGGGAGAGAAATAGTTAACTTCTGATGAATGTGTGTATTATGCGTAGTAATGCATGTGTGTATGCGCTTGTGTGCATGTGTGTGTGTGTGTGTGTGTGTGTGTGTGTGTGTGTGTGTGTATGTGAGAGAGAGAGAGAGAGAGAGAGAGAGAGAGAGAGAGAGAGAGAGGGGGGGGGGGAGGGGGGGTTGGTAAGACAAGGAATCTATTTATCAGTTTACAACTGCACAAAAGAGCTCAGAACTGCAGGCTAGATAGTAAATGTGCGGGATAAACTTTTGTTTTTGTGTTTCAAGACGTTTAGAAAGGAACAGACCTAATGTTACCAGTTGTTAGAGAAATGGAAGTGATAATAATATAATAATATATTTACATTTTTCATTTTGTAGAAGGCAATCATAATTATACTGCAGGGGACTTTTCAGTATTGCTACTTTATTGTGCAACCCTTTGTTTTCTTTGTATTAATGCAGACCGACTCTGCTGCTTTCTGTATTTTAAAATGAAGAGATGAAAAAATTAATACTCTTATTAAAATTAGCACACGTATCACACACTTCTATAATTACATGTTCGTTATTTGTGTTTTCATTATTGGTTCGCCAAAATATCTGTTAAAGGACGTTATACAGCATGGCATTGTGAACAATTTTTTTCTTGTATTTTCTGCCTGATTTTGAAAGAGCTTTGCGATCAAGCTCTGAAACACTTTTATTCTGTTGTTCTATGTAGAGTATAATATAATAGAATTTGAAAAAAAAAAAAAAGAACAACCAAAAACGTGCGGTATTTTTGTAGAACTGGATTCGCAAGGCCGAGCACTTCTTTATTACAGTTTGTCAAAGAAATAATCCAATGATACTACGATTGTGATTATAAGTTCAGACTTGTTCAAGTTTTGTTTGACCATTGACTTTGCCTTTTTATTGCTCAACTGAACTTGCGTGCTGTTTGTCTTTTCTGTATTATTTCATTTATTTTTTACATATTGAGAGTGTACAACTGTACTTATAATGATGCTTTCTTTGTTGCCATGTTTCTCTGATGCCACTTGTTTTGGTTGGCATCCTTTCATTGGTCTGTTATTTTTTTCTGTTATCTTTGCATTTGCATGGTGGTTTATGGGATTATTTCTTTTGTATCTAAAAATTTGAATATTTGAACGATACGATGAATCAACCAATGAATACCCTACATAAATATAATGACAAATAAGTACTGCAGGCCCTTTTCACACAAAGAAAATAAGCTACATAACTACTACCAGCTAAAGTAGAAGCCACGTTTGCCCGCAAGAAGCAGATAGTGCTAATTTTTCATGGTTGTGACTCTGATGACAAGTCTCCCAGTATTGTTATCAAACAGTTTGTCTGTTTTGTTGAAGAATTAGTAAAATTCGTGATTGAAACCAGTCGACCAGAGGGTTGCACTACTATCTCTTTATTATTCTAAAATACCGGACAAGGGAGTAGGAGGTGTTCCAAGTTTGCGAAAGTCGCGGAGGAGTGGGCTTCTATAAGCAAAAACATCACCAGGCATTAAAATAAAAATACAATTAATATTAATAGCCTACCTTTTTTTTTAAATGGAAGAGTTCAAAGATGGATGAAACAAACCGTCGGTCAGTAACAAGAAACTGGGATTCAAAATTTGAATTCATAACCTATTCTTTGTTCTTTTCAAAGACAGTCGGCGGTTCAACACACAATGCAGCCCATGCATCAAACTGTATACAATCACAATGTGTTCACGCTAAAAAGACAAAAAACCAAAAGCTTTTTGCGTCTGGTACCCCCTTTATGTTCTCAAAGTAAGATACTCTCAGTTGATTCTAGAGCTATTTTCTAGAGTTTCTGCAATTGTTGAATCGCATGGATCCACCTCGAGCTATGGTAATGGCTGTGCAGCCCATTAGGGCAAACCTACTCTTCTACGACTTTCAACTGCCGAGGTCCAAAGTACTTAGACCAGACATTTTCGAACTTTTCCTAGAAGGCTAGGTGCCCGGTGCTGCCTACCAAGGAAAAGGGGTATATTTCAACAAAAAAGCCCCCTCAAGTTTCCAAATACTTGTCTGAACCCAAATCGAACCAGGTACCTTTGGCATGCATGACGAGCACCGTAGTCTTTAGCGCCCACTCCCCCTCCTCCCCCTCCCCCTCCCCTTTTGTTTTTCATTTTGCGTCTTGGCCAAACTAATTTGTTTGTTTTCTTAGATTTTTAGATAATATAGGCCTACCCTCTGCTTCACATGAAGGCCACGTCACAATGTATATATATAAAGTAATATAGTGCAGGCTCTTGCTTTGCATTGAAGCGAGTCTCGTCCCTTTTGTCAGTGATTCCGTCCACAACACAATAATAATTGTTTATAAATACATGCATGTCCTTTTGTGTTTTTTTTCCCGGTTTCTGTTAACTGGTACAGCTGCATCTGTCTTAGATGATAGCATTTTGAAACATTGCTTGTACCGGTACTCAAAATGTTTCTGAAACTTTATCTTACCTGTGCATGCATAATATTGATTCCCGTAGGATTTATTAAGAAGAAATGTGAGCCTTCATAAACCCCCAACACACCCCTTCCTCCCCAGCAAAAATTGACAAAAAGAAAGGAAGACATTATTATAACATTGGTTCAATTTGTCAATTTGATGGTAGTTTATTGTAAACAAGAGGTATAATTTTAATTATGTCTTTGAACCTAGACATAGGTCGAGAAATTTCCCTGTGTTACTAGTTGTCAAACGTAAAGCTTAAGAAAACCAAAGATAGTACATAACAAGATGGGCCACTTCTCTCTTTGAGCCAATTAAAAAAGTGTCCTCCAAATTTGGTGGCGCCCTCTTCACAAAAGCGCACTCTTTGCGAACAGAGTTACCCTACTTGAGTTTTAAAAAATCAAAGTGAAACTAGCAAGTTTTGGGATAAATTTCGGAAGAACGTTTTTTTTTAATGGTTACGCTGACAAAAAACCTCTTCCGGAGGAAAGGGTGATGGTTTTCTTTGTTTAATTTGACTTTAGAATGAAAGGCGAGAGGTCATTAAAATATTAAAAAAACTAAAACTCCGCACTGAACGTACCCGAACTGCTGATGAACAGCAGTCGATCTGCGCACGCAAGGAGGTGCTATTCCTATTCTTCTTCTGGAAAAACGAAAGAGAGCTTCAAAACAGACTGCAGCGCCATCTGAAGCAAAGAGCATACTTCCTGCGGACACTTTTTTGGCTGAGTGGCCCATCTTGTTATGTACTATCATTGAGAAAACAGAATGTATTCGATTATTATCGTCAGGTAGGGGGAAACTTGTATCCGAATCAGAACATACTTACTAATAATATTTAATCCGTTTTTCCAACTTGGCACGCAGGCGACAAATCTGTTTTCAGATTTATCTATGGTCCCATGGTTCTAGTTCCTGCAGGTATAGGGTGATGTTTTGCACTCTAGCTTGCTTCGTCCTTTCAGCTTTTGAACTTGCCAAAATTTAATGAGAATCACCTAGAACTAGATTAATAGCTATTTTACTTTGACCTTTTTAAGCTGTCGCGCTTGGGGGCATTATTATCAAGTTTCAAGCCTATTTTTATTAAAACGTCCGGGCGAGACCTGACTTGTCGGCCAATTGACACGGTTTGACGTTTGGAGTGATGTTCTGAGGTTTAGATAATAAAATAAGATGTTATAATTGAAGCAATAATATGTGTAAAATAGCTGTTTTATAAGTACCGAGTTTACTTCTCTGTACTGTGATTCGTATTCATAGCTCTGTACATGTGTTAGCAATAACAGAAATGATGTGATTTCGTTGATTTGATGAACAATTCATCTCTTGATTGAACGATAATATCATCGATGTTTTGGCCATGTTTTGCACCCAGTCTATTTAGCGCGCCCCTCAAGGTATTACGACCAGCAGTATTCCACACTTTTTTTACTCCTTACATTAAATGCTCTTTTGGACGAAGTGATACGTCCGTACACAGTGGAACCAACATCATCACGACATGATATCTTTATATTTATACTTGATTGCTTTGTTTTCCAAACACTTCATGTTCTCATGTAAAGAGAAAATAAATGAACATTATCCATTTTCATCGGTTTATTTAATTTCTTACTTTTAAAACGACATGTCTTTGTTTTGTTGTTGTTGTTGTTGTTGTTGTTGTTGTTGTTGTTATTGTTGTTGTTGTTGTTGTTGTTGTTGTTGTTGTTTTTAGTTGTTTTTGTTTGTTTTTTTTACGTCTTATTATCAATAAATTAAATCTGTAACTTTTTATTACTATACTTTTAAACTAAAATGGAAGTCAATGGAACCTTTGGTGTTTTTATACTACTCCCATGAACACAATTACGATCATTTAGAAAGGCGAGCTTCGACCCTGGCTGTCAGGGCCAACCCGGACTGAGAGTGAGAGGGATAGGGCCCTACACAATCCCATGCCCAACAGAGAGACCGAGATACAAGGTACTCTATAAAATTATCCCCACACGCGAATCGAACTCAGGTCCTCTGCTTGTGACAGCGAAGTGCCCCTAACGAGTACACCACGATGACGCTTGAACGGTACTTTAAAAACAAAAAGACAACTGGTCTTTTTTCTTTTCTTGTGGTAGAACAACAAGAGGTCTGAAGTATTAATAAACTAGGTGTATTTCTGGGTGTGTGTGTGCGGGGGGGGGGGGTTATTGTTGTTTGTTCCACTTCATTGAATTGGATTATAATTGTAACTATAGGGCTCTTACTGGTAAACTGTAAACCTTCAGTGATAGTGTTATCAAACTTGAGGTCTCGGCCTGTGAGTAACAATCCTCCTCATGTACCGGTACTTTCTATTTCTACACATCTGGCACTTTACGAAGGACAGAATATGTTCACCACATAACTTTACGACGCCTGGGTGGCATCATGACAGTGGCTGACTGGATGCAGTAAGAAGTAATCACTACATCCGTCTACCTTCTAACTTCTAAACTTGTCTCACATTGCACATTGCCTCGAGGATCTTCCTTAACCTCTTGTTGAGCCTGTTGACTCTTGTGAAGCAGAATAACCTTGCATTAAAATCACCAAATACCGGGATCGTGGTAGACTGAACTGTTTGATCCAGTTCATTCTAACCACCAGAGTTAACATTAACTGAACTAGCTAAAAAAAGCTTTATATAGTAATAACTATAACAATAATAATCATAATCATAATCATAATAATAATAATAATAATAATAATAATAATAATAATAATAATAATACGACACGTTCTCCACTTACATGTATGACAGGGAAGAGTAGAAACAAAAGTGTTCTTCCATTACCGAATCTTTGTTGATAACAAGAAAGCGTGTGTGTTAGGAGAAACAGGTGTAGGTGTGACATGAAGACCTATATGCAGACCGATTGTTACAGTTTTTACAAAGTCAATCTCGTTGCACATCGCACTGAGCAGAGTGCTGAAAGTCACTTATGCAATCTTACTCGAAATGTGTTGTCAGATAATGCACTTGTTTTCCACTTAAATCGGTTCTCTCTCTCTCTCTCTCTCTCTCTCTC